CCAGCTGCTAACACGTTCTCAGTGACGGTGACGTCCACCAGGAGAAGCACCAGCTCCATCTCTGTCTTCCTTTCTTCCTCCGTCTGTGGTTCATGCATTCATTCACAGATCAGTTAGAGGAGGCCTGCCCTGGCCTCGCCTTGGCAGGATGTCCCAGAAGACGCTTTACAACCACGTAGGAGCTAGATTTGGGAACAGAGAGCAACATTCGAGGCAGAGAGAACAAGCAGGTACAAAAATGTGAAGAGAACAGACCATGTACTGGGAAGAGCAGGTAGTTCGGTGGGAAGGTCAGGCTGGAGAGATGAGAGGAGCCAGGAAAGACTTCCTACTAGTACATCACCTGCCTGGCCACCTTTGTAAAACCACAGTGCCTCACAAGGTTTCCCATACCACCGTCTTCTAACATGCTACGTACTCATCTCTGCGGCCTGGCACTGGTTGTCCTACTGCCCACCGCTAGGATGTAAGCTCTCAAGGGCAGGGTTTGCTCACTTCCCAGTGTATCCCCAGCGCCTCGAACAGTACCTGGTGGGCACTAAATGAGTATTTTTTGCATCAGTGAATCTGGGCCAGACTGCAGCGGAATCTGGGATCCAGTGAAAAGGCCCTTCTATCAAAATAGTCATCGTTGCAACGTAAACCGAATCATAGTATTGGGTGAAGAAGGGAATATACCGAGGAGGGCTTCCTGTAGAAGTCATCCCGGCAGAGGGGCTCCCCTGGGCCCACAGCAACAGAGGCAATCTTGAATTTTGCTTCCCATGGAAGAGGGAGAGCGGGGGGAGTGTGCTGGGCAGCCTGCCACATCCTGACCCGGTCCCCTGCTGCCCACTCCCCAGCTGTCCATGCTGTTCACTGAGGAATGTGACAAGGTGCGTGACCTGATGCACGTGCACTCGTTCAGCTACGACTTCCACCTGCGCCTCGTGCACCAGCACGTGCTGGGCGCCCACCTGGTGCTGCGGCACGGCTACCACCTGACCACATTCCTGCGGCACTTCCTGGCCCACCACCCTGACGGGCCCCACTTTGGCCGCAATCACATTTATCAAGGTTGGTGCCCAAGGGCAAGCCGGTGAACCAGAAATGGGACAGACCCCAAGGGATCTCCAAACCAGGGCCAATGGGACCACTTCCTAGGCCAGACCCTGCCCCTCCTGTCCCATACTGTTACTCACCTATGTCACTTGGACCGTGTTCCCCTGTCTCTGGGTTGTCTTCAGTTTAGGTTCTTCATACTGTTTCATATCAAAGTTTAGATCATTTGCCATGTGTACCCTGTCCTCTGTCCTGAGCCACTTTGGGCCCATCCTGATGTCCTCCAGGACCTAGGAACCCCCAGAAAAGTAGAGCCAGTCCACCTGTTGGAGCCTTAGGGGCTTCTGTCCCCCATCCCAGGATTATTAGTCTGTCTGTCCTAGCCTCAGCATTTCCGACAACTTGCCCCTCAGGAACACTGGAGCTTTCCACACCACTCATTGCTGCCCACCAGCTGTACAACTATGTAGCTGACCATGCCAGCTCCTACCACATGAAGCCATTGAGGATGGCCCGGCCAGGAGGCCCAGAACATAACGAATATGCCCTGGTATCAGCGTGGCACAGGTGAAGCGGCAGGGGAGCATCAGCACCTGCTCGGGTGGAGCCCAGGTCAAGGCTGTCTAGGCAGTAGGGAGACTGGCATTTTCAGGAGCCAGAGGCCTGGGGTTGCCCTCACTAGAACCTCAGGGTTGGCATCTCCCCATCCCCATTGTGCAGCTCTGGCTCCTACCTGGACTCCGAGGGACTTCGTCACCAGGATGACTTTGATGTGTCTCTGCTGGTGTGTCATTGTGCCGCGCCCTTTGAAGAGCAAGGAGAAGCCGAGCGGCACATCCTGCGGTCAGCAGATCCCCCACCTCCCATGCGCTCGTTGCCCAGCATCCCCTGTGCCCTTGTTCTGTGTGTCCCCTGCCCTGGTCAGCACATTCCCACCTTCTCCCTGCCCCAGGCTGCAGTTCTTCGTGGTGCTCACCAGCCAACGGGAGCTCTTCCCCAGACTCACGGCTGACGTGCGACGGTTCCGGAAGCCACCCACACTGCCCCCTGAGCCAGAAGCTCCTGGGAGCTCAGCTGCTAGTCCTGGGGAGGCCTCCGGGCTTGGCCTGGCCTCTGGACCGGCTCTGCTGTTCCCCCCACTGGCTGCAGAGGTGGGCGTGGCACGGGCACGGCTGGCCCAGCTGGTCCGGCTGGCTGGTGGGCACTGCCGGCGGGACACCCTCTGGAAGCGCCTCTTCTTGCTGGAGCCTCCGGGGCCTGACCGGCTACGGCTAGGGGGGCGCCTGGCCCTGGCTGAGCTGGAGGAGCTCCTGGAGGCAGTCCATGCCAAATCCATTGGGGACATTGACCCCCAGCTGGTAAGCAGCTGTGGGTTCTAGAAGGGGCTGGTTTGGATTCTAGGGATCCTAGCAGCAGCCAGGGTAGAGGGTGCGGAGGTCTCAGGTGGCTCTGGGACAGCAGATCCAGCCCCTGACCTTCCCCTAGGACTGCTTCCTGTCTATGACGGTCTCCTGGTACCAGAGCCTGATCAAGGTTCTCCTAAGCCGCTTTCCTCAGAGCTGTCGCCATTTCCAGAGCCCAGACTTGGGAACTCAATACCTGGTAAGTCTCTGAGCCACCTCTGAAAGGGTAGACAACAGGTGTCCCCCAAAAGGAACCCCAGCCCCTCTAAACAAGGACTGCTTTGGCGGGAGGCCTAGATAGAACAGGATCCAGGTACTCCTCTTCACGCACTGAGCACTGACCCTCGACACCAGATCTGTGAGAACGACCTAGATCTCTGACCTTAAAAACTCAGACACAAGCCTTTGGCTAGAGATCCTGAGGGCCAAGCTCTGGGAAGCTCATCAGTGGTTGGTCTTAGGGCCCAGAAGCCCCTAGGCTTTGGGGCTTTAGAGCCTTGTTACCCCAAGTGTGGTGTTTATACCAGCAGCAACGGCGAGCACTTGGGAGCTTGCCAAGATGCAGATTCTCAGGCCCCAGCCCCAATCTGCTGCCTCAGCACGTGCCTTCTAGCCCATTCCCCAGGTGCACATGAGAGGCTGAGATCAATGCCTGGGCCAGGTGGAGAGGGAGGGGCTCCAGTGGCCAGAGCCTGGGGATTAAGAGACTCGAAGAGGTGGACCTGATGAGAACAGTGGTTGTGGGGAGATGTTCGGAAGACGACTTCAAAAAAAGTAGGAGCTGGTCCGTGGGGTGGGGTCCCGCGACACCTGCTCGTGAGTAGACTAGTTTCAGGGTGCAAAGGGGCATCCTGGGATGCTGAGGTGAGCTGGTGAGGCTGCGGCTGTGCAGGGCAGTATGAGCAGATGGGGGTGCTCCTGTGGGTGGTGGGCATGCTGAAGCAGGGGCGGCTTTGAGAGAAGGGTGACAAGTTGAATCGGAGGCCCATGGGGCCCTCCTGGGACCACATTCTAGAAGGTATATGCACGCTGGGGACCTGGGCCCAGGAGAGAGAGACCTGGGTAGCATCTACCAGAACAGGTGGTCACTGAAGCCTGGGAGCAGAATCACCTGGAAGAGATCAGAGCCAAGCAAAGGGACAGTCGCAGGGGGTCAGAGACAAGACCCCCAACAGGAGGCAAGGGGTTGTGCCAAGGGTAGAGAGCTCTCTGTCACTGATGGGCTTTGGTGTGCCAGCTTTGTGCAGGGCCTCTCGGACCAGCTGTGAAGCCTTCCAGTCAGGCGCCTCCCCCTCCCTCTGCTGAGGTTGGTCGGGCTGACGGGGAGCCAGCCAGGATGTGGACTGAGGTTCAGTTTAGAGGCAGGGGCCCGGGCCAGTGGCATGCAGACGGGCTCAGGTGTGGCAATGGAAGCAGGCCTTCCTCACACCGGTCGCGCTTCCAGCATGGCCTCAAGGAAGGAAGGTGGAGGCTGCCTCAGGTGACCTCACTCCCCATGTCACTTTGTGTTTCACTGCAGGTTGTATTGAATCAGAAGTTCACGGACTGTTTCGTGCTGGTGTTTCTGGATTCCCACTTGGGAAAGACGGTGAGGACAGCAGGGAGGGGCTTTCTGTCTGCCTCATGGGAGGTTCCTCCAGAACCTGCTGAGGCTGGGAGCCCTGCTTCCTGTGCCTACCCTCCCTCCTCTCACCACCGCACCCCTGCCATGTTCCCCACAGTCTCTGACAGTGGTTTTCCGAGAGCCCTTCCCCGTACAGCCCCAGGACAGCGAGAGCCCTCCAGCCCAGCTGGTCTCCACCTACCACCACCTGGAGTCCGTCATCAACACAGCTTGCTTCACCCTCTGGACCCGCCTCCTCTGAGGGCCAGACCAGTGAATGTCTGTTCCTCAAGCCATGGGAGTCTGTAAGATGGCCCACTTGAAGCAGGACTGACCAGCCCTTCCAGGCCCGGACACTGAAGGACAGACACCCAAAGCTTTGTGACTAGATCTCCGGGGTCTGCAGCCCCAGCCCCTCAGTGGGAGCTGCCCTCCTGAGCACTTGCCACTGCTGGCCGGCCTGGGGCTCCAGAGGGTCAGGTCAGCTCCCTGAGGTGCCCATCTCCTCTCAGGCCCCTGGACCCTTCCAGAAAGGGACTCCACCTTCCTGCTCACCTGGTGAAGTCCCAGGATTTCACACCAGGTGGCGAGCACTCACCCCTGAGAGCCCCTCTGCCTGAATGCTGCCTCCAAGTCTTGGATTGCTGTCAGCCCCCCTGCCCCCATTGTGAGCCCCCTGGTCTTCATTTCCCACTGGAACATCATTGCGGGACGTTGCTGTTGAGATACGACACCTTGGTTCCAACCCCAGCGCTGCCTCTGAAGCCCTGTGACCACAGGCAAGTCCCTTTGCTCTCGGACCTCTGGTTTCTGGTGTGTAAATGAGAAGGTGGGCTCAAACCCCCCCACGTGCACTGCAGCACTGGTGCCAGAGACTGGGGTACCTGAGCCAGAGCCTGCAGGGTTAGACACCGCGCCCCCCGCCCACCCAATAACACACCTGTGGAGAGACGTTCAGCAGCAGCTCTTTAATTCGAGAGATTGAGGATGCTGGGTGCACTGTCCCACAAGTGCGCTTGGGACAGGACCTCACTGGGCAGCCTGTGGGCGGCCCCGCCTCTCCCAGTAGGAACGAAGCCAGTTCAAGCCCTCTGCTGTGTCTCCTGAGGAGAGGGGGAGGCGGTGGCATTCACCCCAGGAGAAGAGTAGTAGAGCAGCTGTCCCTCCAGAGCTCCCTCCCCAGGGCCAGGCCCGGAGCCCCAGCACCCCCTCACCTAGAGGCCGGTACTCGCAGCCCACATAGCCCTTGTAGCCTTCATCCTCCAGCAGTTGGAATAGATAGGGGAAGTTCAGCTCTCCAGGGCTGTCAGGCTCCCCTCGGCCCGGGACCTGTGCCACCTGCACGTGCCCTGGAGACAGACAGATGTGGCAGGGGTGGGGCCCAGGCTCCAGCTGAGGCCCGACAGACATTTGGGGGGGGGGGGGAGGACAGGAGTAGCACAGCAGACCAGAAGGAGATCAGAGACCCCTCTCACCCACAAGGGGCAGGAACTCCCGGATGTTTCCTGTCAGGTTCCCATCCATGATCTGCCAGTGGAACAAGTCCTGGGTAGAGAATACTGGATCACACCCTGCGGCCCGACGCGGAGCACACAGGCCTCCTGAGCAGCACTCCCTTTGTTCCACTTACCATCTGCAGCTGGAGGTTGGGTCTTCCGACCTTCTGTAAGATGGCTGCCGCTGGGAGAGAGCCCGGGGAGGGGGCTGTGAGCCCCAGGGGGAACCCAAGAATCAAAGGGGCCTGGAGGGGGCACGGGGCTGCAAGTCCTACCCTGCTGGGGCGTGTCCAGGAAGTACTGGGGGTCCGTGATGCGGGTGTTGATGGGCTCCAGCAGTCCCACGAGGTTCTCCTAGCACCACGGTGGACCCGTGAGCAGAGCTCCGCTGTCAGCCAGCCACTGAAGCTCCTCACCATTCCCTCTGAGCTGGGCCAGCGCCCCCCTCCCTCTGCACACACAGGCGTTCACGTGCATATGTGTGTGGCTCTATGGCCTTGGCCTCACCTGAGCCAAAACCCCAGCAGCATGCCTCAGGTTCTCCTGAAACACGGTCTCCATTTCACTCCTGACTGCTGCTCGGTCAGCCCCCTGGGGTACTCGGCCAGCCATCAGGTGAATCCTGGGGGAAGATGGCACTGGAGGGGGCTGGGGAGTCCATCCTGAAAACAGGGCCCTTGCTCCTTGGCTCCCTGGGTGCGCCCCTTCCAGCTGCCCTCCCACCCCTACCCACCCGCAACCCACTAGCTGGTCACTTGGCCGCCATGCTCAGTGGCCTGACCCCCCTGTGTCAGCCTGAGGCCAAACCCTTTTCCAGACACCTTTGAGGGTCACACCATTCTCCTGCGTCAGAGACCCCTCACTGAGCCCTCCCTGTCCTCTCCACCTCTCCTTCCCAGTCGCCCTCTTCTTGGGCTATAAACGTGTGTTGACCTCACTTGCTAACAAGTACTTTGACCCGTTCCCTTAAATATTCCGTGCTGCCTGTCTCTACTTCCGGCATCTGTTCCTTCCATCCTTCCCATCTGCTTTCTGCCCCCACCACTCACCAGTGAGGACACCCCCCCCCCCCCCGTTGCCAGTTCCAGCTCAGCCCATTTCAGCGGGATTTGACATTTATTTGATCAGCCCCGCGCCTCCTGCTGCCATCACCTCATCTCTCCTGGTCACACCCAAGTCCAAAAGGCAATGTCTGAGCCTCGGGAACTCTGCTGAGCACGCCGGCCACTGCATCCTTGCCCCAGTGCCTCTCACCTGTTCATTCCTTTGAGACCCAGTTTAACATCACTACTGCTCCCCGACAGGTGCCTGCTGGCTCCCACAGCTACCATAAACTGACCCTTACTCAAGTGGACCACTCGGTGGTTGGCTTTGCTCTCTCCCTAGCGGGGCAGCTCCGGGCATGGGGTCCCAGCGTGAAAGCGGAGCAAATTGAGGACACGGGCCAATAAGACACAAAAGGTGATTTACAAAGGCTGGGGGCTGGGGGCTGGAGGAGTGAAGGGCCCGGGCACTGACTCCGGACCCTCTGCAACCTGGGTGCTCGTCTCCCAGACCCCAACCAACCGCGGGGCAGGGTGTTGGAGGAGGCCGGGCGAGAGGGGGAGGAGGAGGGAGGAGGGGAGGGTACCTGGGGCAGCCCAGGGCCCGGGCGTACAGCACTGCCTGCTCCAGCCCCTCGCGGAAGGCCGCCTGCCTCCCCGGGACGGCCCCCAGCCCCATCTCCCCTTTCTCTCGGTCCCCTGCGGAGAGAGAACGGGCCTCAGCCCCGGCCCGCCGCCCCGGCCTCACCACCACCACCGCCCCCGCCCCCGCCCCAGCCCCAGCCCCGCGGCGCACCGGGGGGCGTGTTGATGAGCACCAGCCGCAGCCCCGCTTCCCGCGCGGCGCGAGCCACTGCCTCGGGCGGCTCCGCGTACGGCCAGGCCACCTCGGCCGCCTCGAAGCCCGAGCTGCCGGCCGCCCGCAGCCGCGCGGGGAGCCCGGGGAGCTCAGGGAACAGCCACGACACGTTGGCCGAGAAACGGAGCGGAGCCATGGCCGGCGGGGGCCCTGCAGCGGGGCAGAGTCCGGGCAGCTCGGGGAGCGGAAGTAGGCGGGGCGGGCGGGGAGCGCGGATCCCGGGAGGGGAGGGTGCAGCGGGGCGGCGGGAGCGCGGACCCGGGGGGTGCAGCGGGCGGGCGGGAGCGCGGATCCCGGGAGGGGAGGGTGCAGCGGGGCGGGCGGGGAGCGCGGATCCCGGGAGGGGAGGGTGCAGCGGGGCGGGCGGGGAGCGCGGATCCCGGGAGGGGAGGGTGCAGCGGGGCGGGCGGGGAGCGCGGATCCCGGGAGGGGAGGGTGCAGCGGGGCGGGCGGGGAGCGCGGATCCCCGAGAGGGCGCTGCGGACCGGGCGGGGGCGGGTAGCGCGGATCCCGGGAGGGGAGGGTGCAGCGGGGCGGGCGGGGAGCGCGGATCCCGGGAGGGGAGGGTGCAGCGGGGCGGGCGGGGAGCGCGGATCCCCGAGAGGGCGCTGCGGACCGGGCGGGGGCGGGGAGCGCGGATCCCGGGCGGAGGCAGGCTGGACAGGGTTGCGCGGATCCCGGGGAAAAGTGCATCTGGGGAGCCCGACCCGAGGTAGGGCGCCAAGAGCCAGGCTTTTTTGGTTAGAAAAGTGTGGGGTAAAGACTGCGGCTAGTCCAGAAATGTGACATTCTTCGAGGCTGGAGCAGGGGAAACGAGGGGAGAGGCGCCAGGGCCAAGCGAGAGGAGAGCCCCCGCCCCCGCCCGCTCCGACCGCGGGAGGGCAGACGTGGCCCGGGGCCCCCTGGGCGGAGAGCCGGGAGGGAAGGGCCCGCGCCAGCTGACCAGCCCCTAGAGACCCAGTTGAGGAACGTGAGCTTTAACACTTAGTATTTTCCCCTCACTGTAAAAATAGTATCTGTTCATTTTGCGACGTTTGAAAGCTAAGAGACGAAATCAAGAACGTTTAACTCACTACAGTCATCGCACCACTAACCGTTAGCTTTCCCTTACAGATTAAAAAATAAACATAAGCAGGTCTGTTTTCTTAGAATTCTTATCACACTGTACATGTAGCTGTATGGTTTGCTCTTTCATGTGATGCTCTCTTGTGAGCATTTCCCTGTGTTCTTCAGTACCCTTCAAAGTCCCATACCCAGGCAGCCTAGGATTCATCCTACTGCTCACCGTTGGTCTCTAGGGCTTTTCAAAATTCGTGTGTGCGCGCTGTGAAAACACTTTAATGCACCTCTTTGGCTTCACCTCTGAATTTTTTCCCTAGGTTCCTTGGAGATGTCCTTTAGGGTATTTGCCAGCCCGAAGTCCTTTATGCGGAAAACTGCCCCCCCCACACACACACACACACCCTCTCTGCGCCCAGCGGCTAGGAGCAGGCTGTTCCCTCTTCCCTCAGCTGATTGGGCCGCAGGAGGACATCTGATCCTAGGGCAGCCCACCCATTACTTTGCCTGGTTTGGAAAGATGATCTGGCCAATCAGATTCTCTTTCTCACAGTTCAACCAAGGAAGTGCTGAGAAAGTCAGCTAAGAGGTGGTCTTGCCAGATGGCTGTGGCTGTGGGAGCGAAGTAAGCCAGAGTCAAATGGTAGAGGAAGGCTGGCGCAGACCCGGGGGTAACCAGGTACCAGGGGTAAGGGTGGCACGTTGGAGAAACCTCTGTGAAACCCACAGCTGCCTGGGTCTGCACTTCCCAAGCTGGGATGTCTAGACCTTCCTGGATTTCTGTGTCTGTAGCCTCTTAATGATGTTTCTTGAGAGAATTGGAGTGAGTGTATTTCATCCTCGGTAACCCGAATGACTGGGCCGATTCCTAAGGCCGAAATCACATAACAAATAGGAACACATTTAAGGTCTTGATGCTCTGCAAAATTGCTTTTCAAAAATCCACCAACACATGAGTGGAAGTCACGTTGGTCTGTTTTCTGCACTAGCTTTGACAGAAGGAAGTTCCAAGTGCAACGTTAGGAGCACCCAGCCTCTATTGTCTGTTCTGTAACTGCTTGGCCCTCTCCCCCAAGGCAGGCTCCCTCAGACCTCTGGGGTCCCCGCCCCGCACCATTGTTCATCCAGTGGTTAGCACGTTCCATTTCTTCAGCTCTAAGAACAGACTGCCACCAGCTATTACCGATCACCTGACTTCTCGCCCATTTGTAGCTCCTGTTCTACTTGGAACTTTGACTTGTCCTGAAACGTGTTACTTGGGTATAGTCCAGTCAGGACGTGACCTCAGTAAGTTTAACATTCTAATCCATCCCAACTTCAGCATGTTAATAGTCCAATGTTGACCATGCAGAATAACACCTAAGGAAAATAACTCTTTATCACTTCACTGTAAATCTCTGAGAGTGTAAATTCTACGTAAGACTTTAAAAGCACCACTACGTGCTGGGGTCCACCCCTTTGTGTGTATACCCTTTAGGACAGCAGAGATGATGTGTACACATAAATTAGGAGGTGCATGACTCACTTTCCCCCCTAATTCTCTTCAACACCTTCACATAATATATCAAAATAAATCCCAAAGGAGTACAATGCCCATGAAAATTATTTCCTTTTTTTTTTCAAGATTTTAAGTGATCTCTATACCCACTGTGGGGCTCAGACTCACCACCCCAAGATCAAGAGTCACATGCTCCACCAACGGAGCCAGCCAGGTGCCCCGAAAATAATTTTCTTTATTCACTGTTTGATTTCCTACTATATACTACTTTGCAACATAGTCCTTATACTAAATTATTATTGCAAATCTTGATTCTTTGCATTTAACTTTTAACCAAAGAATTTGACATAACAATGAGTTAAGATAACAATAATTTATAAATAGTTACATGGATGATGGCTAAGACTTGACTGCAGAGTTTATTTTTTTTTAAAGATTTTATTTATTTATTCATAGAAATGCAGAGCGAGAGAGAGAGGGAGAGACACAGGCAGAGGGAGAAGCAGGCTCCATGCAGAGAGCCCGACATGGGACTTGATCCAGGGTCTCCAGGATCACGCCCTGGGCTGCAGGCGGCGCTAAACCGCTGAGCCACCGGGGCTGCCCGACTGCAGAGTTTAGAGTCTTATTTGATCACTGGATTGCACTTACCAGTGTGGTAAAAATATATATATATATATATATATATATATATATATATATATATATATATTATATATATATACACACACACACACGCACACACATACATCTCATGTGAAATGCAAATCAAAACCTCAGTGAAATTCATTTTATACCTTCCAGACTGGCAAAAAATTTTAAGTCAGACATTATCTAATAGTGGATTTGATTTGAAACAGCTAGAACATTTATTCACTGCCAGGAGAAGTGTGTGAATCCCTACAATCACTTTGGAAAACAATCTTGCAGTATCTCTTAAGGCTGAACACCCATATACGTTTGATCCTGCAGTTCCTTTCCCAGGTATATCCCTTCAGAAAGTCTGCACAGGTGTACCAGGAGTCCAGGGATGTTCATAGCAGCACTGTTTATGTAGCAAAAATGGGAATCTAACCCCAACTACTACGTATGGAGATGAGTGGCAGGCTAGTCATCCAGTGTTGTATAGAAAAGTGAAGAGAAAGCTGGTGCCTCAAATAATAGAATTGAGTTTGCTCTTGTATTCAAGTGATACATGAAGAGCTTAGTGAAGTTTGGGTCAAACTGGAAACATTAGTGTGAACACATCAACTGGATAAATCTCAGAAACATAATCTTGAGTGAAAGAAGCAAATCACAGAGAAACACATAGAGTGTGGCCCCATTTATATAAAGTCCAAAGCAGGGAAAACCAGACAATATCTTGTGTAAGGATGGGAGCATCTGTAGTAGGACTGTGAAGAGCAAGTGAATAATGATGGCAAAATTCAGAATGGTGGTGAGCTCCAGATGGGGAGGGAAAAGAGGGGCGTTGGAGGCTTCAAAAGTAGTGGCCATCCCCTTTCTCTTACACTGGCCGAGATGCTCACGTATGCGTGCATCTCCATTTTATCACTACCCTTTATATCTCGCATATATTTTAGAAATACCATTTTATATCTTTTGTATTTAATAAAAATGAGTCTTTAAAACCTTGTAAGCATTATCGGCACCTGTTAGCCCACTTTGCATTAACGTCCTTCTAGTAGTGTCATCATAACTGCAAGGATTTCTCTACAGAAAAAAAAAAGGATTTCTCTACAGACAGCCTATTTGTAACAGACTCATAATCACCACGTTTTGGATTTGGGGTGTCGCTGTGCCGTGTAGGGGTCTTTTCTTGTATTACCTGCCTAGAAGCTATGATAGGCAGCCTGTCGACTGGTCCCCCAGTGATGTCCACCTCCTGGTCTTCACACCCTCTCCCCTCAAATGCAGGCTGGATCTGGCAACTTCCTTCTAACAAATAGAATAGAACCTCAGAAATTAGGTAACAAAAAGGCTGTGGCTTCTGTCTTAGGTGCCCCTCTCTCACTCTTTTACTCACTTGCTCTGAGGAAAACCAACTGCCATATTGTGAGCTGCCTTATGGAAAGACACACGTCAAGGGACTGATGTCTCTGGCTAACAGCCAGCAAGGACCTGAGGCCTGCCAACAGTCATGTGAGTGAACTTAGAAGCAGATCTGCTGCCATTAAGCCTCAAGACTGTACCTCGAACATCTTAATTGCAGCCTTATCAGGTTAGAATCAGAGACACCAGCTAAGCCACCCCTGAATTCCTGACCTACAGAAACTCTTTGATAGTAAATGTTTGTTGTTTTAAGCCACAAAGTTCTGAGGTAATTTTTTGGCAGCAGTAGGTTACTAATAAAGGATCTCTTTCTTCTTCTGGGATAAGCTCCCTGGTTTGAGAAAGCAATGTCACTTCTACCACTCCTTCACCTTAAGGTGTAAATGGGTGCTGCCATTTTCTCATAAGATTCTCTCGTCCAAGTCCCAGTAATTGGTCAATGAGTGGGCGCCTGACCCAAGCTGGATCAACCATATAACCTGTTACAGACATTGTAGGTCACCTACCCAACGTCTGTTCCCTCTCTTTTCCTTCCTAACAGAACCATAGCTCATGGGGACAGTCAGC